CTTCAAGACGTTTCAAACGATTCCAAACGCCACCCCAATATTCAAATTGTGGGTGTTATCCACGTACTACCGTGACTAGACCCAAAAACCCAAAATTTGAATAATGGGGTGGCGTTTGGAATCGTTTGAAACGTCTTGAAGTCCTTTGTCCATTTCCGTAAGAAGCTGTTCAATATTTGAGCTCGGACGGACAAAATTTGGACCCGCCCTAAATCACACTAGCCGGCCCTAGCCGGCCGGTTCCGGGAAGCGCCTCGCTCCCCTCCTGCCCGGCCGGCTCTCGCCCGCCCGCCCGACCCGGCGGCCCCACCGCGCAGGTAGCCAGCTCCTGCAGCGGATGCGGACAGCGTCGGCGCCGATCATTTAGGCCCCTCTACGCCCCACCCCGGTGAGTTTTGGTCAATTCTGTCGTCAACTAGCCCATCCTCACACCTTTCCGAGTCCGTCGATACCAAATTTTCTGCAATCGGCCTAATAGTAGAGCCTGCAGAGCGTGCCAAGCACTCTGAGGAGGGGGGCACGGGCGCTGCAGTACGTACTCCATTTAAGCTATCCTCTAGTTGCAGTCAAGGGCCCACTTTTTGTTGCGTGCAGACAAGTGTTCTGCAATACAAATGCCAAGATCTGATGATGATACATATTCAGTTTTATACAGCTCTCTATATTTTTTGAATTCAGTTCCAATTATAAAGACTCCATTTGAAGTTGATATGAAATTTTGAATAACAACTACATTGTTAGTTTTGGGAGTGACAACATTATTACCAGGCAGCAAAGAAATTGGCCTATTATTGTAAAAAGCTTTGGAGGAAAAGGTACCTTTCAGAGAGAGAGAGAGAGTAGGTCCTTTCTTATGCTGACATGTAGTGACTACCCCATTTGGTTTAGCAACAGAGCGGGGTTCAAGTAACAACTCCCTACTTCGCTCTGTATCGCGCCCAACTAACTGTTGTAATGGCCTTGTTTTCCCTCTTATTGCCTGCTTCAGAACATGCAGCTCATTCTCAAAGGGAAAAGAAGAAAAGTTATCTAGCTTCCCAAACAGTTTACAAGAATCAGCCAAATGAATGAGATTATGAACATTATAAGAAATGAACTCAATGCCAAACAATCTACGGGATTCAGTAACAAATTTAAGAAGTGTAGCCCGAGCAGCTTCAATAACATCATCATTCAAATCATTTCTGCAAAGAAGGGAACAAGCTACATGGGGCAAAATAAAAAGATTGTAGTATGCAGTTGGCAAAACATTTCCCCTCAATACAACTGCAACTAG